TAATTATTCAAGTCAATTTAAATTAATTAATTTGTTAAATTCATGATTCATTTTATCACACTAATATAATATATATATAATTTTTTTTTAGAAAAAAATAATTAATTAATGGTCATGTGACCAGAACAACTACAGCCAATCAATTCTTATTCTGAACACGCTTACTTTTTCTAAACTTGAGAAGTTAGGCTATAACGTCGCGCACCTCACGCACACAAAATTTCTCATAATTAAATGATGTATTCTCTGTAAGCAGATACTTTTATACATGTAGGGCACCCTTTATTTCTAGCCAATGGTGTGGTGACACTGCACCACTCTCTATGTAACATGGACTCCTCTTTCTCTTTCTATAGTTATTTTCTTCAATGTGTCATTAGCATTCATTAATTTCCCAACAAACTTAGCACCATTATCATTAACATTCATTTAAATAAGCAAGCAAAAAGATAGGGTTAAAAAGGATCAAAATATTAATTATTTTATTATTTAAATTGAAAATATAAATATTATTAAAAAAAACTAGAAAATTTTTTTCTTTGCAGTAGTAGCAGCCTCTCTTGTCTCTGCCCTTGACTATATGTATATTTTTCACAATTCTTTCATATATTATTTCTCTCGTACAAATTACTTGTTTAATTATTGAAAAATTTTCATTCACGAAGGGACTTACCTGGTAAACTTTTAATCATCGGTCAAGCTCAACAAAACCTGTATATAATTCTATGATCAAGCCCGCATGTCTTCTTCCAGTTTCACGGCCATGAAAAACCAATATTATCTGTGAAGTTTTTTTCTGACTTCGTCACTATCCATGTGGAAAAAATAGAGCCATTGTTTAAGCAAGATTAGGTTCCGAATGGGTATTTGGTCGTCCCCCCCAACAACGAATATACAAGAGGGCAGGAGTAGGTTTAAGCCACTTGGAAGATAGAAAATGTTTTGTTTAATCCAGATGAGATCTTACAAAATCCTCAATCTTAGGAATGTCAAAAGGCAGATGCGAAGTCAACTATCATTGATTCGTGACTAGAACATAAACCTACTTTGTCATGAGAAAAGAAGAAGAAGAAGAAGAAGAAAGGAGTTGTAGATATGCTTATTTATGTAGGTTTGATGAGCTTATTTCTGATGAAAAACTAGATTAAAAAAAGAAGAAGAAGAAGCTACTGTGTGTTGTTTTCTAGACCTGGAAAAAGCTTATGGAGGCACACCCGATAGCTAGACATGACTAGACACGGATTGTCCTGTGCAAAGGGCTCCCACATTGGAGACAATATTATTGAAGTGTACCTAGCCGGCATTATTGTGCCTTCTTGTGATCTTAACCATTCACTTTAGGGATTCATTACTCACTTCAGCTACATCAACACCGACAAAATAAATTTCAGATCAAATGATAAATAGTTTTTTTTTAACAAAATATTTCTTATAATTAATTATAAGATTTCAAGATGTAATTTTTATTATTTTTTAATATAAATTTTTAAATAAAAATTCTTTTAACTCAAAATTTACATATATTTATATTATTTTATATTTAATTTTTATTAAATAAATAAAAATATTAAGAATCAAACGTTTAGTAATTTAGTTATTAAACTTCTAATATTATATTAAAAAATTAATTTAATCTAAAAACTTAAACTTAAATTATTAGATAATATTTCAAAATATTTTTTAAAAATTAAAATTAATGTCATGCATATGCCCTTTATCAATCACATTACAAACTCTAAGTTTTGTTTCCATGAATGATATGAAAAAGAAACCTAATTAAAGGATTAAGCCCTGCATGTTTTATGATAATTGATGAGAGGAGAATTTAGATCCATAGGTCCTGTTTAATCTGATCATTCCTATAAAATAATTTGAAGTTCAATGTCCATGCATATGATATAACGACACCCGGCCTTTTACTTGTGATTAAAATGCTGGCATTCTCTGACGATCAGTAAATTATTTGGATATCATAGAAGAACTTGTGAAGGTAATTAATCCTTCATTACATGTGTTGATTTTATGGCCAATTGGGCATAGAAAATGTAATAACTTGGCGAGTTAAGTTCTTTTTATACTTACCTCAATTACCTTGTTGCTAAATTAAGCTAGGAAGAAGATTGTACCAAAAACAATGAGTTAGGAAAACGATAGTTTAACAATAATGTCCCAACATTTTAACAACGTAAGTAAAAGAACCAACCATAGAAAATATGATGATACATTGGCTAACTTTCTTTACCTTAACTGGGTTAGGCTTCTGCTAACTTGATATATATATAGTTGTTGAGGAGGGCTTGAGGCTGTGGACTTGTGAGGAATACACTTGAGGAGCTAGACAACCTTGACAAAGCCATAAATATTTTAGAAAAAATTAATTAATGCAAATGCACTTAAAGCATGCGATCACTTATTATTAATAACCATTTTTGGGCAAAAAAGAATATTGAATGGACGTCAGCCTATGCCAAGCAAAGCCAATAAAAAATATTGGTGACTGAAAGCAACGAAGTCATACTTAGAGGTCATTTTATCTTTCAATAAATATTGTGTGCTTAACCCATTTTTTTATGCTTTTTTCCCTCTCAAGTCTATAGTTTGGACACACCATTCCACCCGATGATGGGTGCCTATGAACGTTGCATTTCAAGTTGGAGAAAAGGAGTTGATCAAGTTCCGATCTAATTTGAAACCGCAACAAGTTAAAATTAAGAACATCAATCGTTCTTTCTGGCGATGTATCATCAAAATCAAGCCACAATCACATGATATTCCTTAGCTTGAACACACCATATATTGCATGGGTATATAAGCAAGAAAAACCACGCCACTTTTACCTTAACTTTGAACCTTTAGGCTAAATGATAGGTAAGGATATTAATTAGTTTTAGACAAACTACCGCACTTAATTAATTAACCAAATGAGATGTATGACAATTAGCTCATCTCTTGATTTCATAATAAAAGAGGTTGTGGTTGAATAATGTTTATTATTATTATTATTATTATTATTTCTTTGGTTTTTGTTTGTTTTAATCTATATTTCTCTTTTTAATTTCATACTTCAAGATTTAATTTATTTAATATTGAGATTCATAATTTATTATGGCTTGCTTTATATATATAGTTAATTTGATTTCATAACTTGTATCACTAATTTAGCGGGTTAATTCGGTTGGCTAGAGGTTTTTTTAATCTTTTTTTAACTAATAATTTTTTTAAAAAATTTTATTCTTCAATATTGGGTTAACTGAGAATTATACTTCATGATTTATTTTGATTTGTTTTTTATAAGGTTATCTCAGTCTCATGACTTGGATTGCAGGTTTGACGGGTTAATTAATTAACCTAGTTAACTCAAGTTTTTTATCTTTTTTTTAATTGATATTTTTTTTAATTTCATCCTTTAGCATGAAGTTGCTCATGAATCAGGTTTTATAATTTATTTTGACATGCTTTCTTTGAGGTTATCCTAATTTTATGACTCGAATTATGTGTTTTACGGGTTAATCTGGGTAGACTCAGGCGATTTTATTGAATCATGTTTTTAAATCGATTTTTTCTCGATTTCAACCTCAACAATGAGTTTATTAAAAATTAAGTTTCATAATTTATTTTGATTTACATTCTATAGGATTATCATAGTCTTATGACCTTGATCGTGAGTTTCGTAGGTTAACCCAGGTTAACTTATGTCATTTTTTTGTTTATTTTTTTTATGCTATCTTGATCTTATAACTTAGGTCACAAGTTTAAAAAGTAACTTGAGTCAATTTGTTTGCTATTTTTTAATTAATTTTTTTCAATTTCATTCTTCATCATTAAATTAATTAGGTATCGAGCTTCATAATTTGTTTTAATTTGCTTTATCATAATTTTATAATTTAGGTCACAAATTTGACAGATTAGCCTGAATTAATTTAATATATTATCATTTCAATATTATTTTTTAAAAAAAGATACTGTCTTGGTTTTTTATGAGATAAAATACTTATGTTTTTATCGGTTGTTCGGGTTATTTTTGAACCTATCAAGTCGATTAAGTCATATCAGGTCAACCTTTACACAATTTAAATTCTTTTTTTACTAGAAAAATATTACAAATATTTTAATATTTTTTTTTAAAAAAAATAATCCAACCCGTAACGCATGCTAATACTCTATTTATTACCTTTTCGTACCTTTGAATATCATCTTTTTCATAAGAGAAAATTTGATTTACTCACAAACAAACAAATATGATATGTCCGTATATGAATCAACCCAATTAAATCACGAAGACCAACCATAGCAATTAATCCAGTTCACGTTTGATTAATATCACATAATAGACTAAATCGTATTTAGTTAATATATATCACATGATATATTATACAAATATAAAAAAAATACAAACATGTTTAATTTGAGAGATAAAAGCAAGGATATAAAAAAAAATTAATGTAAATTTCTATATTTTTAAACAAGAAAGACATTGAAACACAGGACACCGAATGCTAGGTGCCAAAAGTATAATTCAAGCAACATTATTGATTTTCCTTCTCAATCTTAAATTCAGAAATTCTCAAATAATTACGATCCACTTGTATAAAGCCAGCGCATACAAGGAAATTTTCAAATTATATGTGACACGTGGTAAGCATCAATGAAATTCTCAATCCAAAATTTCAAAGCTATTTTGTTTTTTATTTAACGAATGAACAATTTCTCCTGATGCAAACAAAATGATAAGTCTAACTCTTTATTTTTGTATTTTAAAAAAATTTAAAATTTTTAATTTTTTTTAAATTAATATATTTTTAATATTTTTAAATTATTTTAATGTAATGATATTAAAAATAATTTTTAAAAAATTACCCAAATAAGCTCTAGTTAAGTGACTTGTTCAATATTGCACTAGGCTGAAACACAAGCCCGCCAAAAATAAATAAATAAATAAAAGGGGTGGCATGTAGTGTCTGATGTTGCATAACTACTATATATCTAATGATTTGCTGCCAAATTAATGTCAAACCCTCCGAAATTTAACTTCTCCAACACCATTCGGCCGACTGATATACCAAGATTCCAAGTACATAACCAGTAATCCTCATCGATTTTTTTTCCAATTGCTTCTATTCAGCTATATATACACATAAATACCATATAGTTCCTCCCAAGAACAAGCCAAGAAACTTCATTTATAGAAATGGAAAACTCAATGAGCTGCAAACCATTCTCTTCTTCTTCTAATGAGAAGACAACTGATGACAGTTTTGAAGAGAGTGGTTGGACTATGTACTTCGAGGATTTCTTTGCCCAAAACAATAGAGAGGACCGTGATCATGATTTCAGTGAGCATAGTTCTTTCTCATTTGATCATGATGGAAGTTCTTCGATGCTCTCTGATGCTGCTTCTTTGGCTGTGATGAAGTCTGCTGGTGATCATCACGGTGAAAAAGTTGTTGGGTTACCTATTAATAACAAAAGTTTCAAATACAATTTAAGTCTCAAGAAAAGAAGAACCAAAGGGGCTTTGCTTGATGATGCTTTGGAGGATACTGCTAGTTCTCCTGTTAATAGTCCTAGGGTTAGAAATATTAATCCCTTCTTCTTCCCTTTTTGTTTCTTTTTAATACTTCAAGATTTAATTTATTTTTTTAATTTCATATTTCAAGATTTAATTTATTTAATATTGAGACTAATTTAGCGGGTTAATTCGGTTGGCTAGAGGTTTTTTTAATCTCTTCTTCTTCCCTTTTTGTTTCTTTTGGTCTGCTTTCCTGCCTTAATTATCAATCTATAGTCAGCTATATTCTGGGGTTTTTTCAGTTTCTTCAGATTATCTTTGTATATGTCAATTACCTTATACTTTCCATGTATGTTCTTAAGTCAACCATCTTCTTCTTTTTTTCCAGGTAAATGATGATACGATGATAAGCCACTACAAAAGGAACACAAAACAGAAAGATAAAATGGAAATTTCACAGGTAATTAATAACCATTTCTGAGGTTTTAATTTATTTTTTATGCATGATAGTAATTTTATCATTCTATGATTGTCTTTTCGGTGGGTTTCATGTCATCCTGTCTAACAGCAGGATCTTGTGGATTTTGTTGTAATATAGGACAAAGCAAGTGCTTCTAACCAGATAGACATGAGAAGTGATTTGGGTTTTATTTTGAGGGAAAGTGACAACACGGAACTGAAGAAAAGGGGTCTTTGCTTGGTTCCTTTGTCTATGGTAGTAAATTATCTTGGTTAAATCCACATTTCCTCAGCAGCTCTCCCCCCCCCCACTCTACCTGGTACCCGGTACCCTGTGGCCGTGGGATTGAATGAACGAAAAGTATGTTTGGTTGCATATGATGGGGTTAAGATCCACCATCATCTGTGTGGCATAACATATATATATATATATATATATATATATATGTTAATTTCATGCAAAAATTGCTTCTCAAGACAAAGGGATATGCGAAAACGCAATTTAATTTCATGCAAAATTGCTTCTCGAGACAAAGGGATATGCGAAAACGCAATTTAAACCTAGAGATATAGAGGAGGAGGAAGCAAATTCTTTTTTTTTTTGGATTAGAGGGTGATGGAGCAGAAGTTGACGGAAGTGCTGCAATTTTTAGTTAGAGTTCCCCTCCTATATGCCATCATGATGGAGTATTAAGCAATTAAATAACCAAGGGCATAAACAAGGTTTTACAATGAACAATGTTTCTTTCTATTCTCTTCGAATTGTATTGCTTAGCACATCATGGAGTTGTATTAACGGGAAATAAATCATGTATTACCTACTTATTTTTCAGCTCATTCAAATAATTTCACCATAATTTTGCCTCCGAAGTGTTAAAGTTAATTAAAAATGAATAATTAGGTATCTTCTTGGATGTATAATGAGATTTTTTTTTATCTTCAATTTTTTAAGGCAATTCAGGCCTGCAATGGAACCTTGCTTCTGGTTTGAATGAGCTAGTCCACCAAACAACCTAACAATTATACTCCTCAAGTTGCCCTTAATCATTCATACCTAAACATCTCAATAGCTAATTTAGTTATTCTAGAAGACCAAAATATAAAATTTGAGGGATTTTTCAGTGAAGAAGAGGAGGAGGATTTCTTCTTGTATTAATTAATTCTATTATTTATCCTCTTTCCAAAAATAAAAAAATACTCACTTGCAGTTGAAGCGTGCACCACAAGGAGAAATCTCACACCAATAATATATATATATATATATATATTAATTTTGTTTCAGAATTAATGATAAAAAAAAAAGATTATATATTTCTAAGGTTTTTTCCTCTTGCTTTGGAAGTGAGACTTTTAATTTTATATGACTTGAATCTCCAATACAAAGAGAGGAACAATTTTAGTTTGACTCCTCTATTATTGTGAGGATGAAATTGAATATAATCCATTAAAAAACAATAATTTAAAAATGTGGCAATGCAGCCAAATTGGAACAACTACAGCACCACATATATCTGTGCCTACTATCCCGACACGTCATTATTAATTATCATCTCATTATTCTCTCGCATGTATATCCTCTTTAGTTCAATTCAAAAAATCTCCTTAATTCCCATTCACAATATTCCTCAGTCTTTTATTAGTTTGGTAAAAGATTTAAAGATAATGATTGTTGAAGAAATAATAAATTTTTACTCAACCGCTAATAAAAATCATAATTTTATTAAAAACCTCTAATAAAATTAGTTATTATTAATTATTATTAATATTTATAAACAACCACTAATGATAATAACGTTTTTACATTTTAAAATTAAAATTATTTTTGTAACTTACCATCATTAAAGGACATGTGACCGCCGAACTCCTAAATTTAGGAGGGTTAATTATAAAGATTTATCTTTTGCATGTGATTCTCTAGTTTCAAACTTTGGTTATGTTGACATTATTAATATTGTTGGCAATATGCATGACACACACCTTTGGTCTAGGCACATTTACTATGTTAGGTAGAGCCTAGTTTTGTTTTAAGTTTTTTTTTTAATTATTATTAAATCTGATATTTGAGTTTGAATTTCGATTATTTCAAATATTTATTTATTATTTTTATTTATTTATGATAGTTTATGTTTTTAACACTCTTTCTCTTTTATCATTAATCCTTTTAGATTCATTAGGCGATTTAGACTTGACATCAACATTTGTTTTTGATTTTTTTTATTACATGTGTAGTAATTCGAATTCAATTACTCTAATGTCTTTTTCCAGATAAACATGAGGCAGTGATTATTAATATTATTCATAGTTTTTATATATTTATTATTAATATTATTGCTTTTATATATTTTTATATATTATTGAAGTATGATAACTCTTGTTTGTTACACAATAATTGAAATCATTGTTTAAAAATCCAATTGAAATTCTAAAGGAATAGAATATTATCATCACAGTTTGTTTTATAAATAGGATTGATATCAATGAATTTTGATGGGTATCATGTATCTACCTAATGATGTCTTTTACTTTGATACATTGGTTGGATACTTATATGTTGTGCTCCCTTAAAAACTTGCAGGAGTACTTGTCTACCATACCCCCAGTCACAATAACAATAATAGAAAGCCATACATTAAAACAATGATTTTGAATTGTGCACTACAGAATTCTTATATTTATTATCAAAATTTTTATCAGTATTTATGTTATCATTCTATCAGCAATGAATTTACTAATTAAATTACAGACAAAAATACTTCATTAATAAAATTTTAATCAGTAATTTTTGATTTATCAGTGAGTTTATCAGTAATAAAAAATATTTATTACCGATGAATTTACTGACAGAAAAGACATATTAAAATTTTATTTACTTGCTTCATTTCATTGGTATTTTCCTTGAGAAGCTTGTCATAACCGATATAAATATCGTATGCAATTCCGTTGGTGATTATTTAAAAATATTTTAAAAAAATCATTTTAACATAATTAGAAAATAATTAAATTAATATAAATCAATACTCCATAATACTCAGGAACTAAGTTGCTTGAAAAAAAATCAACTCAAATAAATTTCAACAAATAAAGAACACAAAAAAAAATAAACAACAACAACAACAAAAATAAATAAATAAATAAATTAACTAAAAAAATTTCCACCAAACCTAGAAAATGTATTTAAGAACCCATAATCTAGCAACAAATAAATAATTTAATTGAAATTGAAATTGAACAACAAAATTAAAAAACAAAATTGATTTCATATAAAAATAAAATCCTACAATAACATTCATACAATTATTAAGAATAAAAAATAAAAAATAAAAAAACAAATATAATGAAAAAAACACACAAAAAAAAGAAAAAAAATCTTATTTTAATGTAGTTGCAAGTGAAGCTGAGAGGAGAAAAAAAAAAGTTCATAAAGTATGTTAATAAAAAAAACTAAGAAGAAAAGAAAAGGACGAGAAAAAGACATACTTGAGCGTAAATGAGAGGAAGAGTTGAGGGGAGAAGAGGAGAGAAGAGAGAGAGAAAAAAGGATGTTGATGTTTTTTACATAAGAGAAAGAGAGAAGAAGAAGAAGAGGAGGAGGCATGTCTATTGTGAAATGAGAGATTCTAGTTTTTTTATTGAGGTAATTTACTAATAGGTTTACTGATGAATAATTAAATATTAATATTTTTAATTATTTTGTCGACGATTTAGTTTATAATATTTAATTTAAAATTTTAATTTAATCAAGAATTTTCAGAAACCCTCCAAATATTATTAACATCTTCTCAATCCATCAGTGATTCTATCTATAATATTTAATTTAAATTTAATTAAAAATTCTCAAAAACCCCTCAAATATAACCAATGACTTTTCAATTTATATGTAATTTCATCTGTAAAGAACAGTAATTAATAGTGCAATTGAGAAGTGAATAGTTCTAGAGTTTTATAGAAAATACTGACAAAATTAATTCGTTGGTGATATCTTTTATAATTGACATAATGAACAGTATTAGAGAGAAGAGAATAGTTTACCAATAAGTTTAAGGACTGATTTTACCGATGATATTAATATTGTCGGTATGAATATTAGCACGTCATCGTATTTTTTAGTTTTGTTTTAATTCCTTTTTCTTTCACTGTAATTTTCTCAGTATATACCGAGAAAATATTTTTGTCAATAAAATTCACTGTAATTTACTAACAAAAACATTCCATCAATATTTCTATTTGTATTTGTAAATTTTCTAGTAGTAATGCTTATATTAAAACTATGATTTTGAATCATGGTCAATTTAGAATAGTTGTTTTCTTTAAACTATGTCATTTCCCTAAATTCTTCTAGATGTGCTGTTTTTCAATAAACAAATCCACAATCTTTCGTAAAAGATTAAAAAGGTGTTGGGATTCAATTTTAGGGTCAGATTCAAGGTGGAGTAGTGGTATTTAATATAGCTGTTGCAGGTGGAGTTTTTCGAGATTATATATATACTGGTGCTTGTCTTCACGGTTTTGACGACAATATTGGTGTTTGTTCTTTAATTATTATTTAAAAAGAAAAAAAAACTAATGTAAATTGAATTTTATATTAACTCTATAATTATTTATAAGATTTTATTTTTTTTAAGAATCAAAGTTTAGGTAAATTGCCTAGCTTGTTTTTCAGTAAGCTTTGATATTTTGAAAATATAATAAAGAGATTGTTCTCCTTTTCTTCTGTTGAAGATTATCTACGGCTTTTAGAGTATTTTTCAAACTCTTTTCATTCAATCTCTTCCTGATTTTCCTTTCTTTCCTAATTTACGTAACTCAAGCTGCATAGTTTTCTCTTCGGACAGAATTGTGGGCTATAACCTTTATCCTTGGCTTGGGATAAAGGTTATACAGATGTTCTTGAGTCAGATTCAAGGACTGCAGTTCTACTTATTCCCGATAACAGTTACAGTGAGTCTGTCAATTGATTCAGAAATCTTGGCAATGTTAAATGGTTCATGTTTTTAGAGAATCCAATCACTGTGCTGACTGACTTGCTCATCATGTCTTTTCATTTCCTCTATCATTCATCACTTTACATGTATTCCTTCAGGTTGCTTTTCTATTGTTCAAGAGGATAGCTGTGGGATTTGTTTTCCCAGAGTTTCCCATATGTAATGCCTTTAGGACTTACCTAGATTATTGACATGTGTTATAGATTAAATTTGTATTAACTAAAAAACATTATTTAAGTGTTGTTAATATTTTTTTTCTAGTAAATTTTTTTAAACTATATAGGGGTTAACTTGAAGTGATTTGATCAACTTGATGGATTCAAAAATAACCCGAATGATCAATAAAAATATAATGTGATTTAAGAAAATTCAAAACAATATCTTTTTTTAAAAAAAATATTAAAAGGATAATATATTGATCAATTTAGGTCAACTTTGGTTAACTTG